TCCCTACATTTCTGACCCACAGTCTTTCAGGACTGTGCTTTTGCCTTCGAAAGTCCCCCAGAGAGAAACACTAAAGTTTTAATGATTCCTTTCGTGGGCTCCGCCACTCCAATGTGGCCAGTGTAGGTGCTGGGATGATAAATGGCTCTGACTTGGTGGTACTAGCCCAGAGACTGGATGGTATATTCCAGTTTCTGTCTCACAACCCCCATTCTACCCACCCCCTGTTCCCATTTTGTAGGTGCACAGACCAGCCTTAAAGGTCTGAGTCAGGAAGGCCAAAATGAAAAGGAGACTGAACAGCTGTGAAATCTGCCTCATTAATATCACTCACTCATACTGGTAACAAAGTGCATGGCGAGTCTCTGTGTTTTTCGCTGCCACTTTGCTGGAATTGTCTGTAGGTGGTTTTGAGTATCTGAGTCAAAGGGGTGATTTTCCAAGGATTAAACCATACAATGTACACTTATTTTCAAACGTTTGGGGTCACCTCCATTTTTCCAGTTTTTATTTTGGCATTTAGGCATTTCGGGCTCAGTGGGTAACCTTAAATGGTGCAAAGCTAAGAAGTAGACTGCCAGAGGTAAAATAAAAATAAATAAATAAAAATAAAAAAGGCACCTAAAACTGAAGCTGCATGTAAATTTCATGTAAAACAGGCCTGCTTCAAGGCTCAAATAATAGGTTAACTTTATCTTTTCTGCAGCAGTGTCTCAATGCAAATAGTTTCTAGAAGTGTTCCAAAACAGCAAACTCTGTCTGCACAAAGGCAAGACATAAACAGTATGGGAACTGTTGCAACAGTGCTAGTTGAACAATATTTGATTTAAACTGTAGAAAGAATACCACAGGTGTGTTCAGCTGTAACAACTGGAAAAAAGGAGGTGGCCCCAAAATTAGGTAGGCTAGAAAAGGTACATTAGATTTTTTCATTTGAAAGTAGATCATTTTAGAATTGTTATACAACAAAAAAATATTTTAAAGAGTCGAATTTACCTATATTAATTCCTATTTTGCCATTCTATTAATATGACTCTGTTGCTGTTTGGCAACAGATTAAAAGTTTACACCTGTACCCTTCATCTAGGAAACCAGTATTTGTGTGGATATATGATCTAATGGATTTGTCAGCTGCATGTTGTTTCTTGTGATGACTGGTCTCTGCTAACACTGTCCTGCTTACATTCTTTTCTGCCTCCTTCCAAAACACAGTGGTAACAAAGGAAGCATCCCTATTTTTAAGATGAAAAAACAAGGAAAAGCTATAGGTTCTGTATATATATGAATGCAATGGTTGAAGGTGTAGAAGAGGAGATATGCAGCATTTCTTGGTTTCCTCTGCACCACAGGTAGCTGTTGTGCTACAATGTATGTTTGCCCACAGCACTTGCAACCACGTCAGCTTGCAGTGGCACCGCTCATGAAACCTCGACTGCAGCAGTATATACAGACCAACTGACAGGACAGGAGATTGGTAGACTCGCAGTAGAATGAGATTTCAATCTGTCAGTGAGATAAAACCAGAAATTCTATTGATGTGAGTTGAAATGAGTGGAACATCTTATTTTGTTGATGCATTACCATACTGAGGCACTGTTTCAAAGTGGTGAACAAGGCTCATTACATAGTTAAACCATTAATCTTAAGGCTCCATGATGAGCTTTGGAATATGGACTTCACAGACTAAACTAACTGCATTCATGAAGACAGACTACTGTATGTAGACACCTCTACATACAGACTGTAGGATGATGTTGGAACTAGTTGCGGGCTGGGGTTTTACTCTTGACAGTCCTAATTTAGATGCATCCCCTCTGGCCTTTAATGGATGAAAGAAGAGCATGTACTGTATTTTGGCTACTCCATAGAACATGGCCCAGGGCTAAATGTGACTGGAATTAGTGAGCTGTGTACCCAATATAATGCAAACCTCTGGGAGTGACACAGCACACCAAGCCTAGGAAACACATCAATAGATTCTGATGTGGAAAATCCCAAGGGGTAAAGTGGAATCATATTACTACTGCTCAGTAAACCAGACAGCTGCTGATGCTGCTGCTGGACCAACAAGGAGAATGTCTCTTTTAAACCAAGATGGACCATGTGCGAGTGTGAGAGAGGCAGATACTGTATAGAATGAAAAAAAGAGACCAAAGGACTGGTAGGAATGACAAGACATTAAGATCCTAAAATCACATCTAACATAACCTTTGACAAGCTCTGGTCAGTGTCTGTTCATAGTAAGTTGACCAGATTTGTTTCCTCAAATCTTTTCCACGGTGACCAAAACATTGATCTGCTGATCTTGAGCTGAAAGTAGGGAATTGCACTTTTACATTTTATAATAGCTGGACAACTAGCATGGCTGAACAGGATGTTTTTAACTGATCACTGAATAAAATACAACAGAATGTGCACTCCGGAGTAAAGCCATTGCATTACCTTTTGCCTCGCTTTGTCCTAACTCTCTCTTTACATTATATCACTTTCTCTGTGTATCTCAGCTTCTCTTTGGAATTCCACTCTACAGGTTTGAGTGCAGTCTTACACACCAGAGAATAGTTGTAATGCTGCTCAGGGTGGCTGAGGCATGCCTTCATCTAGCCCCTATATGATATTCATTTTAATACAGCTGAGCCATAAAATGGAATATGTGCAGAGGCACAAATATGACACAATCTCTTCCATCCAGTCTGTCTGAGGAGGTGAAATGAAATGCCCTGCACTTGTGCTTCCATAATACAGCGCTTAGCAGAAGTTGATACTGAAACTGAGAGGGGAAATGTAGTTGGTTATTGCATTAGTGCTAACCACTAATGTAACCTTTCCCTTGGCCTCACTTATTACTCCTACTCTTCCTCACTCTCTCTCTCTCTCTGTGTGTGTGTGTCTCTCTCCTTCAATCTTTCCTCCATCCCTCAATTATTAGGGATTATCATGACAGCAGTAGCAGATTTGGACCGAGAGACACAGGATAGGTACGAGTTGGTCGTCAAGGCAACAGACATGGCAGGACAAATGGGCGGTCTTTCTGGCTCGACCACAGTGACCATAGTGATCACAGACGTTAATGACAACCCACCACGCTTCCCACAGAGTAAGTGTCTCCCGCACATTATTTCACTTTAGACAGACTAAGAGATGGTCAGACACACGATGAGAGGGAGGAAATAAAGAGAGAATACAGATGAAAATGACAGAGACAGAGGAAAAATAATGAGGAAATTGAAATTGAAGACAGAAACATGGAGGAGATTATTGACGACGTACAATATAGTTTGCAACCTTCAGGCCATAGACAACAATAAGCTGTGGCAGCATCAGTGACCATATTGAACGGCCTTGCATTGTCCAAGAAAATCAGCTAAGCTAAATTTATGAGCCAGTCAAATGAACAGCCCGCAACAAAGTAGTCCATCAAACGTGGAGAATCGGTGCGTTCCACTGCACATTTGATCAGTCTTTTTAAGCAAGGCTCAAGAGGGGACTGAATCAATAAGGTTGATTGTTCCGCATTGTAATGTCATGGATTTATGAGGGTGAGGTGATTTGTGGACTAAAAGACTTTCTGCATGGCTTTGGTGCACACGCGCTCAACAGGTAGGGCTGAAACACGCAGTTAAATCTAAATCTGTCTCATTATCAACTATAGTATGATATATTTTTTACCTACTGTACCAACAGAGGTACTTTTAGTACAATAAACAGTGAGTGCGCTTCTGTACATTTCACCTTTTTATATTAAATAGCTCATGTGGTGTTCTTCTTACAAGTATATTATCATGCTAAATGCTAGTCCAAACAGAATAATGTGTTTTGTAGTTTTTTTGAATTTAATAATGCTTCCCCCTTTTGCTTTCCTTTCAATTCTCTATTTGTCTTCTTTTTTTTTAGTTAAACCACGACACTATTACTTTTGTTACAGCTGGAGGAACAACAGCTGACAGTCTGGTTGATTGTATTTGATATGTCTCCATACACCTTTTCTTATTTCTGTATAAATCCTTTTCTCATCTCAGTAAATCAAATTTACCGAGTCAGAGGGATAAACCCTGCAGGATTATAGTATCTCGACTGTAACATATGGGGAGTAGATAGAGTTTAGAAAGCAGCCTCACGAAAAAGATGCAAAGGAAGATGACAAAGGACTTTGATTCTTTCACATAATTTAAAATATTATCTTCTTACTTTTGTCTTTTTTCTCATGCTCATAATGAAGATGATCTTGTCTTATACAGATCTTATATATTTCCCCAAGTCATTTTTCTGTGCCAGCAAAAGTAAAAGTTATCCTATTAATGTTGATGCACACCTCTTGGCCTTAATTTAATCACCGTTTTATTAGATGAATACAATCCCAGTACACTAAAAACTACATTTAGATAACATTGATCAATTATAAGCAGGATATACTGTAATGTAAATCCACTGTGAAAACTAATAGGTAGATTAGTGTAGTGCAAGACAACAAGACACCGTGATGTATTCAGATGTAGCTAATATACAAATGTGCTCAGTTTTACATTGTGTTGTATGTGAATGCAGTGATCACACTGACAACAACTGTCTGGAGTCAACCTGTTTCTGTTCCAACTTTATTGTTCTGTTACCCATCTCTCCTCATTCTCATTCCCTTTGTCTTCCCACTTTTCTGTTCAGGTCCCTGTCATCTACCTAGTTCATCACTTTCCACCCTCCTTTTTCCACCCAGTGTCACCCATCTGTTTTTCCTCTTCCTTCCTCTACTGGTAACTTTCCCCTTCTTCTCCATGTTACATCCTCGCATGGTCCACAGTCACCTCATCCCTCTGTCGCTTTGCTAAACTGAACTTTTGTCTTTTATCTGCCCATGGGTTTTTCTTCTCCATAAACCAGAGATGTATCAGTTTTCTGTGTCAGAGGGGGCAGCGGTGGGGACACCAGTTGGACGCGTCATTGCCACGGACGCAGACATGGGAGAGAACACAGACATGAGCTATCTGATTAAAGAAGGAGGGGAGCTCTTCAAGGTCACTACTGATGTGGAGACACAAGAAGCTGTTGTTTCCATCAAGAAGGTACAGTCCATTTAAAGGAATGCCTTGCTGCTGTTATTGTTAAACCAATATTGATTTGTTCTTGTAGAAGCAAAAAATTATACAGATACACTTAATTAACATCTAATTTTGACTTTAAAAACTTTAAATACCCACTTATAATTGAAAACACAGTCTTTGGGGATTTAATCTCTTTCCTGCAGAGCATGACACCAGTTATTAACTCTTAGCTAGTTAAATGAACTAGCTAAGAGTTATTTTCTGCAGTAATTGTCTATAAATGTACAAACAATTTTATATGCAGCCTTATTATGAACAAGTCTTAAGCAATGACTGTTGTGTTTGAAAAGAGTTCCTCAATAATCTGAGTCACCAAATTTCAAGTTCAAGTTCAAAGTGTTTATTTTGCCATATGCACAGTTAGGAAACGTGTTTCCCTGTACCAGGTACATCTCTCGTATAAGATTGGTCCTATATCCTCAATTCTTGGGTCGACCTGAAAGTCATTCTGGTCATTCGAAGACATAGGACATAGGAGAGAGAAATAGGGACAGTGCTGGAAGAGCCATGACAGAGGACACATGAGACCATCCTTCACAGAAGTTTTTTTTTTTTGTGAACTGACATGCCCTTTTATCAGAAATCAGTTGTTGATTGGACAGTTCACATCAAAGATCTGAGGAAAGGATGTCTCATGTCGTTAATAACACGTATCCTCGAGTCCTCTCTCCTCGTGTTGTCTTTGCATCTTACATGGGTGGGACTAGAACACAAAGAAGAGACGTGAGGGAAACAACAGCGCTTATAAGAGACTTGGGATGTAGCTGTTATCATTATTACATATGCTACTCACATTTCTGATAAGCTTTTGTTGTTTTTGTTGTTGTTTTTACTTAATTTTAAAGAATGCATCATGAGTCATTACAGACAACGCAGTCTCTGGGATCTCTGGCAGAATCTCGTGAAGAGTTGATGGATAGAATTGCACAAACACTGGGGCTCAGTTGGCAAAGTACTATTTGCCCTTAGCAGCTAGTGTAAGCCTTTCTCTTTAGTAAGCTGAGCAGCTTGTGCCCTGTTCAGACAGAGAAACTCAAGGTTCACTGAGAAAGGAACGAGTGGTCTTTGATGACTGATGAGCATTGGTTTGCCAACTGTGGTTTGACTGGTGCTGTCAGTACTGTTCCTCTTCAAAAGCTGAACAGTTGTCAGCTTTTTTTTTCACCTTACACTCTGTGACAAAAAATGCAGAATGCTGGCAGTCAAATCTTTCACAGAAAAACAAAGATGTCAGAGGTGTTTCTCCGAAGTGACACATCTCTGTTATCAGTCGGGCCTAATGGCAGAGGAGCCGTGTGACATTCAGCCAAGAGCGGTGTTTTGGTTCAGTGGCTTGCCAGAAATGTGGCAGTCTTAATCATTCTAACAACCAGTAGTGATGATCTAGGCAGTGGTTTGTTGATGCAGCTGGCATCAGACTGGCTTGAAAGAACCCATCAACAGAAATATGAAGAATATGTGTGCTTCAATACACTGGCTCCAGGCTGCCACCGATTCTAGTCTCTTCATTAGTATTATTGCTGTATAATGTAGCTTCTGGCCATCAGTAAGCACAATGCCACTTTGAATGGTGGATGACTTATTGTGGAATGAAAGTGATTATTTAATCTTCTCTGTCTTTTAGCCACTGGACTTCGAGAGCAAACGGACACACAATGTGGTAGTGGAGGCAGTAAATAAGCACGTTGACCCACGTTTCGTAGACCTGGGCTCCTTCCGAGACCAGACCATTGTTCGTGTCAGCGTGTCGGACGTGGATGAGCCACCCATCTTTGAACCGGCAGAGGGTGCTATCATGGAAGTGCAGGAAGATGCCAAAGTAGGAGCCCTGGTTGGCATTGTCTCTGCTAGGGATCCAGATGTGAAGAATAAACCTGTCAGGTACAGCAAAGACTCTAAGACCAGTTTCACCACAAACAAAAAAAAGCATTATGCTGTAAAGCTGTAGAATGCAGACTTGGGTCACTGATGGTTTTTATAATCCCAAACCCTGCTTGTTGTATACTGTCCATAACATTGTGTAATGTTTAACACAGGCACGATCCACACTGGAAGGCAAAGACTAGTGAAGTAGTGAAGTTGTACTGCTGTAGTTGTGTGATTTGATTTAATAATATTAAATTAGCTTCTAATGAAAACCTTTGGGCTGTGTTAGAAATGTGGCTTATAAAAAGTAAATGTAAATGCAGATAAGATTAAAACAGCACTTTGACAGTAGGTACACAGCTGCTTTCTGCAACTATAATTAGCCTGATAAATATACATCGATTGGCAATAAAATAGTACTATAAAAACAACTTTACTGCTGAATATGAATAACAGAATAGCAAAACAAAGGTTTACATGACAGTGAGCACCTCATTTATATGTAGCTTGGACAGGATAACGCATGAACATGAAACCCCACAAGGCTGCTGTCATGTGCCCACTGCATCCTGCATTTACTGTATATTACTTTACTATTGTAGATACATTTCACTGGAACAAAATTTGTACTATGAAAAATATTACTTTAAAGAACAACAGTTCCAAGGCAATAAATAGGTAGCTAAAGGGCTTAAGAGAAAAATCTTCTTTTTTTTTCAACAATTTCTCTTAAAGATGCCGAGAAAGCTCCAGCAAACAGCAGGAGTTGTACAATGGATGAAGGTGCACCATACATCTATTTTTTTACTGTGTGATAAAAACAATATCAGCTTGTAATCTTTTGTACCAAGGTCTGTGGTTTATATGTCCTGAGAAGAGCAATTGCAGTTTGAGTGGGGAATAAAGATAAGGGCTAAGACAGCCTCCCCGACTGTAGCATACACCGACACACACCGGGCATGTGCAAATTACTTAGATTAAAAATGCATGAGGCTGAGAGTTCCAGGTGTAATAAAGTATAACACCATGGCAGCGCCGTCGTGTCTTGGCAGCCCAGAGCTGAACGAGTGTGTGGGTGTGTGTGTGTATTTATGCATGTACATGTGTTTAAGTAAGTAAATGGGTTAGCTGGTGAAACGGAGAGAGAGAGGTTGGCCAGGAGCCACCTACAGGGCAGAATTAGCCTCGTGGCCTCCAGCATTAGGCAACACACTTCCTCTACTTTAAACTCTGTGTAATGATGCACCTTGAGTGGTGTGGTGTTTGTGCAACATGTGCATGCACTGCGGGGCTCATCACCAAGACCGCCTTTGTAGGACAGAGATGACTTTTTCCACGATAAAAGCAAACTGCAAACGGAACGACGACGCCTACAACTAAAATAAAATCTGACAAGGACTCAACCAGGTAAATCACACAATTGGCAGTTAACCTAGATACTTGGCAAAGATGCTCATGCATACAATACAGAGCAGTCAAGATAAAGAAATAATCAACTGTAAGTTTTTATTTTCATGTTATAGATGAATTGGTTTTACCGGAACCTAAGGTTTATGTATGTATTTATTTATTTGTTTGTTTCCTTTTGGATAATAATCACTGTACTGTAGGTGTGGGGGTGCAATGATTTAAAAAACTATAAAGACAATAATATTATGGCTGGTATGAATCCGAATTCAGTTTTTAAGAAATAAAGGAAGACAAAACATAACTGTGCCGCACAATTTGATATTCAGTAAAGGTAGGATCAGTCTGTCTAATGTTTATTCTAGACAGAGCATATGTCAATAGCAGGTGTAAAAATGTTTCAGCCAAATCTGGTCATTGTTTTGTATGTATAGCATATAATAGTAGATGTAACAGAGCTGTACACTGACAGACAGACAAACATGCTGGCTGTGTTTTTCTACATGGAAGTGTGTAACTGTATCTTAAACTTAGTGGTCTCCTTTTAAATGGAAGAACTGGATTTTCATGTGAATACAGCTGGCAAAAATCTCATTTAAAACTTGAGTTATCTTGACATTTTATCCAAATGTAGGTGCACAATGATTGAAACAGTAAAATAAATATTTGTTCTCCCGTTTCATTTGTTGACATTTAGTGACATGAAAAAAAAAAATCAAATAGAAATGCAAATGTAATTTCACACTCACACGGTTTTAAAAATGAACGCATGAGCCAATTTAGAGTTTAGAATACAGCTCTCTTGACATTACGTTTTACATCTCTAGTACAGTATGTAACCCATCATTCTCATGAGACCTGGGAAGAATGCTGCTTAGCATGTTTGTCCCAGAAACCTTAAGAGCAGATAACGTGCATGGTGCTTTTTATGGTGTATCCGGGCATTAGTAAGCCAGCCAGCTGTGTGTGTGTGTGTGTGTGTGTGTGTGTTGATAGGGAGTGAGTGGAACAAAGAAACCTTTCAGCAGATTTTTGTTGACTCACCAGTCTTTTCTGAACACCAAGTACCCCAAAGAGGGAATGATGCATTTGTGGGTTTTTTTACGCAATGAATATTTAATGTTTATTTTGTTACTCTGAATAGGCATAGTAAGAGTCACTATATAGCTGCATGCTGTTAAGGGACGCAGCACTATTAGGGCCTCAGAACATGTCAGACGTCTCCAGTAAACACCTTTAAAATATAATTACTTTAACCCTGATTCATTCTGTACAAGTAGTTTTTCTTTACATGTCCTTGTTAAGCATGACATAAAAATACAAATATCTTTATGAAATGACTTTAAAAATGAGGTTCATGTGTGATTATTGATTTTCTTTCCTTCATCATGTTTACTGCTTCTCTTTCTTGACATCTATATCCTATTTTTCTCATGTCTGTGCTTATAGGTTCTCCATCGATCGGACAACAGACCAGGAGATGATTTTCCATATTGATCCTGATTCGGGAGCCATCACACTGGGCAAGATTTTGGACCGAGAGACCGCTGGCTGGCACAATATCACCGTGAAAGCTGTAGAAGCAGGTAAATTGCATTGTCATACTGCTGACAAGAGCTGATATTCATCTGGTGACTTTTTCACCTTGCCAAAATGTTTAAAGATTGCTGAAAATACTCTGTATATTTAGTGTAAACAAGTATGTATGGCTAACTCTACTAGGTACAACATGAACTATTGCTGTGACGTTTTTGCTACGTGACACTTGTGGCATGTCAAAACAATGCAGAGAGCTTGAAGATGCAAGGAAATGAACATTCCTTTTCATAGTTATTCACATTAATGTAGCTGCCATAATTTTTTTTTCTTATATTACTGAAGGAAAAACTAGGAAAACATCAACAAAATCTGACTGAGAGGTGTGATTGTTCTAAAGGGCATGGCTTTGTCTGAGCAATTTACTGCCCAATTTATTAACAAGAAAGTTCTCTGTTGATTGCCAGGTCTTGGCTACACCCAGTGCTTAGCAGTGATGGAGACTGCACACATTGAATTAGTTGTCTAACATTTAGCACTTCCCACCAGGGGTGAGGAGGGGGGACCGTTCCTGCACATTTTCAGCAACAAAGTGGCTTTTGTATTTGGAAAAAAAAAAAAACAAAGAATACGAATGTAATGTCCACAACCAAGTTAACAGACATGACTAAAGCAGAACTGTTCCAGTCCATTGTTTTGAGGATCCATGTTTCAGCTGCCATTTTCTATCCCACTGGACTGCAGATTGCACTTTTACTGTTTATTTATCAGCCAGCAGCTTTGAAATCACACTGATCTGGCTGTCACTTCTTCTGCCAAACCATCAAGGGCGTCACAGACCTCAGTAGTAGCCATCATCTTTCTGATATCACTGGGAAAAATACAGTTATTGTTGAATCACTTGTCTTAGAGCTGAGAAACACATCGTTTGAAATGAAGGAAGAGCTTAAAGTTTTGTATCTCATTGGTTCCTTTTGTCAAAGCAAAGAAAATGAAGAATGTAATAACTTATAAGCTGGAAAGTTATTACTCTACTTTTATAAGCAAACTTTAAAAAGAAGGAGGCTTGGTATTTCCTATTTCCTTCGATCTTATCCATATGAAGTTATTTTGGGATTGCTGTGAAAGCAGGGGAAATTGCATTCTTCTTCTAACCGATATTTATCATTGTACACAAAAAGGAAGAAGAAAACAATGCACAAAAACAAAAGCAGATTTTAAAATGTCTTCACATTTGTTCTTCTCTCATATAGCCCCAGAGTGATTACTTCAATAATCAATACAGCCTAAACCGAATAGGAAGCAGTCTCACCCAATGCAAAGATTAAGACAAAATGAGACTTTCTGAATCTTTTTTTTTTTAATAGCTGTAATTCCCAGAGCAGTCTGAGGGCTTTTGTGCTCTGCCTCTTTGCACTTGGCATAATATGTCATAGGGACATTTTAATGTTAATTGAACATTTAAAGCGGTCCTGCCCTATCCAATATCAGACATAAACACATGCCTGCACTTGACAGATAAATCCTCATACATTGCCTTCCAAGGAAACATTCAGACAGGCAGTCAGTGGTCAACCCCATAAGCATTCCCATCTAGAATGCTTTTATTGCTGTAGATGCACAGACAGGAGACAGAAAGAAGCAGGAGAGACAGAGAAAGAAAAACAGAGCACAAGAGAAATCGGAATAGTCAGGGGATAGGAGGCTGCCTGCAGCTAGCTAGAATGTTTAAAGAAAGCACTTCTACATAAGGATTTTGTTCTTTATTGTTGGGTTTCTCTGCTCATTAAGTTCAACTTGTTGGGGGGCATTGGTAAACTGTGTCTTTTGTGGCATGACCCTTAATTATTCCCCCAGTCTATTACTGAACTTTCAACTATTGTATTACCACTGTACCAGGGGTGCACAAGCTTTCTGACAGTGTTCAGTGTCTGTTTAACCCCAGCTACAAAACTACACAAAATGACAATTATCACACATATGACTGCAGGCTAAGTAAAGAGGTTTTATTACAAGTAAGCGCAGACGGTGCTGAGATGATACCCCTCCAATCAAACGCAAATATAAACATATGCACACACCTCACATCTTCAGATTCACTTAATTAAAAGTTGCAACCTCTAAGAACTCATCCTGCAGACATTGTCACTGTAGAACAAAACAACTTCTCATCTGCATAGCACTTGTCTCCTTTTGAGAGAATATAGAACTCCCTGAGTACAGAAGGAGCATTTAACTGCACTGTCACTACTCAGGGTTCTCGCACTTCCTGACAGGCTTCTCCATAGAAAAATATCAGGGTAAGTTAAAGTGACATATAATTTTCGAGAAGTGATGGCAAGTATGATATCAAGTATGATATCACCTCACAAAAACAGTTTTTTTTTTTTTTTACCCAGACAGGTAGGTGGAAAAAGGAGCATCACCCTGAGGGCAAATAGATACCAAAGTAGCTAGAAAGTCTTTATCTCTTGCACTGTTGCAGGAAAGAGACAGTTTATATAGTAACTTTTCTCACTTGCTGTCTGGCAAACAAATGCACACAGTTTGATTTTTATGGTATTACAACACTGTTCTCTCAAACCCTAAATACATCAAGCACTCGTTGCAACATTGTGAATGGAGATGGCTTTTTTTCAATCAAAGCTGAAATATTTAAAAGAAAATGGGTCTAAAGAACAAAGCAAAAATAAATAAATAAAATGTTCCACTGGATGTAATAGGTGCTGCAGTCTTGTAGCGCACAGCACATCTGTCAACAAGGGTGTGGAGACATATTAATGTGTAATCAGGAACCCAAGATTGTGACCTGACTGATGTGTCCTGTTTTTTTTTTTTTTGTCCTGTTATATAATCATTCACATGTTTGTACTGTCAGTGTAGTTGTGAAGGAGGAGGAGATCCTGAATACTCAAACAGTTGTTTGATGTGTTTTGTTTTCCTTCACTTGGTAGGTTGACATTATTAATTTGTCAAGCACCAGTCATGCCTAGTGTATAGAGTGCTTGTGGGGAATTTCTGGCACTCAGGGCCACAGAGTTGCTCACTTGCATTGTATTAGTCTCAAATTATTCTAAATGTGAATGGTTGCATGTCACTGTCACCAAGAATACATTTAAATTTAGTGTGTGTCGGTGTGTTGTAGTCTTCACTGGGATGAATGTGATGTGAACTTTTTGTTTGGTTGCCTCATTATCTGTTAATTGATTATTCAAACGCTACTCAGTGAACTGTGATGAAACCCAGACTTGATGCGTCTACACCATTTTCATAATCACATCATAGCTCTGATTACCCTCACCACTTATCTGACTGCAATGAAATTTTGGGGAAATTAGGCACCTCTCCCGTGTGTTGCTGTAAGACTTTCACTTATTGGTGAAGATTCCTGTTAGTGGAGACATGTTGACTTGCTCATTTAAAACAATAACACTGTGACAGTTGTAGTTAATATTAAAAGTATGAATGACTGCAGGGTGGCACTGTGGTTAGTGCTGTCGCCTCACAGAAAGAAGGTTCTGGGTACAACCCCAGGCCGACCTGGTGCCTTTCTGTATGGACTTTGCATGTTCTCCCTGTTCTCATTCACTCCTGGAAGCTGCCCAGTACAACCACAGACTGACCTGTGGCTACCAAGCAACTCAGATTAAGGGCCGTGTTGTGATGTTAATGAGGGTGGGGCAGGCATTGTTTTGTCACCCATCCCACCCAAATTTAATCCCACCTGGCCAGGGATTTGTGATTCCAATCACAAACTCACTTCTCCAACCCGTAGGCCACCACTGCATGGTTTCATTAAAGTCTGACAGACTTCTCATGCAGATTATATCCAAAAACACCAGCGAAGTGAATGAGAAAAGAAAAAAAAATCAGTTTGAAGAATGCCCCGCCAGCAGCCAGCCAAGTAGGATTTCAGTTAACATAGAAATGGTACAAATGGATTGAGCATAAAATTAAAACTGCATATGATTCCTGAGGGATGTGAAATATCTTGATGTGAAAGTGAAAGAGTTTTCTAAACTGGAATTGTAGCTAACTGATTCAGTTTTTAGACAAAGGATGCTTAAGATTTCCTTTCTGAAAGGGACGACTGACCGCTTTGCGCAGTAGCAGTATCTTAGGTTTAATCTAGATAATGGTGAAAATTATTTGTCTTGTCTATTGGAAATGAGTCTGAGGTCAGTTATTTTATTTTATTTTTTATTTTTTTGCTCCCACTTTTAACTTGTTTGAGAACAGCCACTGAGAAGAACATACTTTTGCACCTGATGTGAGCTTTTGTGAACATTTTTGTTTTGGAAAAGGGTCACTGTTGAATTGTAAAATGTAATTTTTTCACTAAGAATGAGCAAGGTAATTTCATTATTTTACTGAAAGTTTTAAATAATTCAGTGTGTTCAGAAGACCTTGGAATGTTTTGTGCCTTTAACACAGGGGACATTTAGAGCTGGGAGTTCTTGAATATACAAGTCAATCTGAAATAAAGGTATTTTGGTTGGTGAGTCTGTGCATTATTGGAACTATGCAATTGAAGAAAAATGACCTTATTACTTTGTGGCCTCTGTGCCAGCGTTGCTGAGCCTCTGGCTCAGTAAAGAGCCCAGAAGCAGACACTGTTGAGTACATTCATATTCTCGTTTTCCGCTCCTGACCAAAGTGACATTTCAAACTAAACTGTGTCCTCCAGCAAAGAAGATGTCATTTGGTCACACACCCACACACAAACATGTAGGTACACCCATATATGCAAAGACGTGCACTACACTCACTCCATGTCTTCCCTGAGGTTATGTCAGCATAATCCAGTGCCTGAGAGATTTACTGTAAGACTTTCTGAAAGATTTGCAACAGCTGGTGTGTGCTGCACAGATGCAGAGTATGTCAATAATCTGTTGAAATCCTTTTATTCTACTTTATCTGAGGACTGATTTAGTACAGTGCCACTTGGTCCAAATGAATAAACCTGTCTTAATGAATAACTCTTTTTTCCTGTGGAGAGAGTTTGGGGTAGGGGTGAGGCATTCTCATATTGTTTCATCTGCTTTCAGTTCTGGGAATTGAAATGTAAAATGACTAACATCTGATGATTGCTGGTTTTCATTCCGGCACAGTGGGCACAGCGGCATAATGTGAAGACAAAATTAGAAGAGGAAAAGAAAAGAGATATCTAGCACTGGTGGAACTCGCTGCGTGTTTATGGTCTTGCTGCTCTGGCAAAAAGCAGTCAATTTAAACCCAGCATTGATGTGAGGATTATGCTATTAGTTGAGACTAGATTTCTCATTTGCTGCTGTGCCACTGTTGGGCAGAACTGAGTGGTGAGATACTGTAGAGGGAGTGATCTTGAGAATTTGTCTGCTGTGTTCTGTTGATTTTCTGTTTACCTGGCTGTGTTTGGTAAACATGTGCTGTCTAATTCTTACATCTGGCCTGCGGCCCCACCTGTGTGTCAGCTTTTGACACTTCTCTTTTCTCATAAGCCCTTTACAGAAATGCACTGGAACCCAGAAATTATCTAGGCATTACCCAGAGCAGCTGTATGTGAGAATGCAAATGTCCAAATCATTTGACCCAGACCTTAAGTGGTCTTTACTCTTCCACCTTCTTAGTAAAAGGTCTACATAATGTCTGAATGAGCCCATGTAAGAAAACAACAGTGTAAAGTCCAGACTAATCACACGGCGCTAGTGGGCATGTTGATGACATTCTATCATGTGACCGGTGCGAAACTGGAAGAATAGAAACATCCCATAATGAAGAAAAAATGGTCATTTACAATGAAGATGGCAACTAAAATTTCAACTGGGGACACGACGTGATTCAGGAACTGGCACCAGAATTGTTAGATACCTGTAAAATACAACAAGAGACTGTTGTTTATGACCAAATCACAAACCAGCTATGTGACCACGTCTCGCCTCCTGCGCACTCTACCCAGGACACCCCCCTGCCCACACACACACACAGACATATAACCAGAGTATTTCCAGTAGGTGAGCATGCATCTGATACAGACAACCTCCAGTATAAAAAGGCAACTCTCGACAAAGTCCAGGCCAGATTCTGCCAGATTCTGCAGCCATAGTCTGGAGAGAAAACGTCTTTAGATAAGTGACATTCACAGACAGCACCTCTGAATTCATCCATAGGTTTTCTGTTGCAGTTTTTCGACGCTTGAAGTTTACCCTTGACATCATCTTGTGACAAGAGCTAGAAAATTCAAATGTTGGTAACAAAGCGGAAAACAGGTGGACATGAAATGGTGCAAGCAAACAGCAATAACCACTGCTGAGTGTGTGGGAGATTTATCAATGTAAGCAAATATGACCCTAGACATGTCATTTATTCAGCTTTACTACCGGCTTGATGTAACAGCCATTTTAAAAATATCTGTAGACAGAAGACAAAAAGACAGAAATTAAAAGTGATTATTCAGATTCCAAATTCTTGTGAATAGAAGGCAGAATTCATGGAAGAAAGTTGAGGGGCTTTTCAAAGTTTTTCCACACAGGTGTGGTAGGGATTGCAGAAAATGCTCAGGAGTCATTTCTGTATGAGGACTCATACTGTGTGAAGTTGTTTGGCCATTTGCTGTCGCTCACAATTTCCCAAGACTAAAATTTTAGCTTTATTTTCTCCACAATAAAGAAACAGATGTTTTTGTCCACTGCAATCACAAATACCAAGGCAAATTATTTAGCAGTGTTAATTTAGTTTTTACATATACGTGCATCACTAATTTCATATTGTTAAAGGTACTTATAGTGAGCTCCCTTAATTGCACTTAACCATCTGCTATTTTTACATAATCACAATCATTTAAATTCATTGCATGAAGCTTTTTTAACTGCTAGAGTTTTTGTGTTTTTCCATCACTGGGTAATTGTCAGAGGCAGCATGTTGTTACATTTTCTTTAGGGCACTCAAATGCATGAACTGGGTGTTGACAGTGGTCTATTCTTATTTATTCATAAGCTGTAAACTCCAATTATCCAGGATATCCAGACCAACACTTGATTAAACACTGGGATAACGTTCATCTCTCTGTTACTGTTTTCCTTTCTAACTCACACTCACATACAGTTCATGCACACCCACACACACACTTGGGGCCTCAAGCACACTTCTGCGCTAGTATACATTGTATTTTGTGAGTAACATGGAAACTCCATCAGACATTATTATATGATTAAGAAAGGGAAATATGATTCAAGGAGATGTTAAGCTAATTTGAAGTGGGTTTTGATTTTAATAATTATATAATCTTCTCTTAGGAAAAATGTCTTGAGAGTGCATTGTGCTGTTTTTTGTGTTTTGTTTAGTTGAGAGGGAAATGAAAAATAAAATTACTGTACTATATTGGCAATTTTGTCAAAAGCATTTATTTGTCATTATCACTGTATTGAGGCGCTCCTCTTGCACTCAGACTATTAAACAGCAATGTGCTATAGTGTCATTATCAGATAGTGAGGACCCAGAGACAAAAATGGATTCTTTGCCACCATTTTCATGTCACTCACTGGTGCCAGAAAGTGTTATTCATGTAATGGGTGCAATTTGAGGAGGCATTAGATTAAAACCCTTCAGCACTTAGCCACAATGGCAAACCAAATGTCTGCTTCCATGTGGAAAATTGCATCCATCTGAGTCTTGTCTTACTCATACTGAAGGTAGACAAGAAGTGCACTGAGAGTGTTGTTCATGGACTCTTACATCTTGTCTACACAAGACTCTAAAGGCAAAATCAGCAGGCCGGCAGCATGTAAGCAACAGCTGCAGTCTTTTGTCAATGTCTGCTCTGGTTCTGTTCAGCCAGAGGACTCCTGGGTGGTCAGTTGCACTTTGGCAGAGCTCGCAGCCCAGTACACAGTACACAGTGCTTATATTACAGAAGGAAATCGTCTTAAAAATAAAAAAGTACGCTTTGGGTTGCAGTTACATGCTTTAAGCACAAGTGAAACACAGCTGTGTGTAGACAGCTTTACCGATGTATGTAAGAGCATACCTGTACTGCCAGATGGATGACTGAAAAAATGAAACACCCTCATTCTTTACAGCATCAGCACAGGATCAGATCCTCAGTCATTCAGTTGGAAGGCTCTGGTGTTTTGTGTGGCAGTCTAATCCTCACTTTACCAAACCACTTTTATTGTATCTAGAAAAATTATACTCTGTTTTGCTTCAGCCTTCCTAGTCAGTGAATTCATAGTTTGTTGCTAGAGAGTTATCCCAAGTTACACACTGTCCTTCTGTCAAAGTCCTTAACACTGTATTGCATTCAGTGTTGCTGAAATGTTTTCATTCCATCTCTCCTGTAGATAACCATACCATGGTGTCACACTCAGAAGTGAGTATTCGAATTCTGGATGTAAATGACAATCCTCCTGAACTGGCCACACCATACGAAGCCTCTATATGTGAAGATGCCAAACCAGGCCAGGTAAGCTTTTCTTGACTCTGGAGCAGATAATTTCATACATTAATACTGTATGTTCACAGTAGGAATTTAATCTGTACATTTTAGATGGCCAAAATTAATACCTACAGTAATTGCTGTTTACTGAGCAACAAGTTAAACATGAATGATGTGGTAATCAACTTGCTATAGCTTCACAGATTGATCCTCCAGTGCCAACAATAATGAAAGGCACTTGAAAACAGTGTTGTAGCAAATGACATATATGTTTCATTAACATTATAAGATAATTTGATAAATCTGATTTGTCTTATTGCCAAAAGGACCTTTGCATTTCCAGTACCGGAAACAATGTACAACCTGCACAATACTGAACACGGCACATAATTAGCGAACAAAACTCAAAGCTAATTATTGACAAGAAGTGAGTTGAAGAGTACTCCACTATGGAGTTTATTAGAAAATCAATGGTTTTGTCTTACATTATACGCCTTAATTACAAGAGCACTAAAAGAAGAGGTGGAAACACTTAACAAGCAACTCACACATTAACACAAAAGAAGAGTTACTGTGCAAAACATTCAAATCTTTTCAGACATTGCATGACATATCTTTATAGTAGAAATGTGCAGAAAAATGTAATCAGTTATTAACTATTGCCTTAACTACCTTAGTTTTTATTGGACTAAACAAAAAAGCCATGTTGCTACAGGATAGGTGCACGATTTTTGCACATTGAAATAGAACAGTGAAATACCCTGTTCTGATACACATGCTCATACCCTGAAAGTCTTTCTGTGAAAATGTAAGCCTATCCATTTAACCTGGTTTATCTTTAGTGAGTCAGTCAGCCGAGTGGAGCAGTGGTTAGCACCATTGCCTCACAGGGAGAAGGTTCCGAGTTTGAGCCTCGCAGCCGACTGAAGGCTTTCTCTACAGAGTAGGCATGTTCTCCCCGTGCCTGTGTGTGTTTTCTCCAGGTACTTTGACTTCCTCCCACAGTCGAATAACATGCAGGTTAGGTTGACTGGTTACTATAAATTCCCACTAGGTGTGAGAGTGGGTTGTTGTCTGTCTCTATCACTGCAGTATGTTCACATTACAGGCCTTAATGCTCAATCCCATTAATTTAGTCAGATCCTATTTATTTGTGTTGATGTTTCACATTCGTGTTTGTAAATGACTTGTATCCGGTTCCAGTATAAACACTGTTGAGGTCCTAAACTGCCACGCATGCACAGATTTAACTGAAAGGTGAGTCATGTCTATACAACAATTATAACAATGTCATTTGTGTGATGGTCAAATTGCACAGCTCCTTGAAAAACTGCTCGGTTATGACACATGTCTTCCAGTTTGTCCATGAATGGTAAACAAAAGTAAAACGTCATCTTCTCTTCACTAACCCCCGTAGAGTGGCCCAGATCTGATATGAAAACAATCGGATTTGGTTTGTCCACACATCCGTGAAAAGATCAGATCTGGGTCACCTGGGGGGAAAAATAGAGTTTGGGTCACTTCAGCATGTAGTCTGAATATACAGTAGCATGTTTGTCTGAAGTGGAATGTCAGCTAGGATTGGCTCCAGCTGCCTCACAATCCACCGCAGCAGTGGTATACCTACGTAGATAATGGATGGATGGTTCGAGCAATGCACCACAGCAGTGGTATAACTACGTAGATAATGGATGGATGGTTCGAGTCATTCAGGCAGGCAGAACAGAAGCAACAACAAAGTTCTCGATTCTGACTTTTAGCCTCACTGAAAATACCATTAGACAGAAGAATTGGCTGGATTAGTGTCAGTGAATGGATCTCATACTGAGACCAGTAGCCTTTGTTCTGCTACTTAATTTGATTTAGACTAAATTGGTGATTCACATGTAGCAACATGTTTTAAGGCCCGTCTGACGCTTTATACCAACGGCAATTTATTTTGGTCAAATGCATAATTTTCCAGGTAGTGTTAGTGAGAGAAACAAGCTGTTTTCCAAATAATATCTTTATTTTTTTCTGTTTTATTCATGCTGAATGCAGGGCAGTTATTATGCCACTGATTTCAACACTAAATTTCTGTCAATATCAGAAATGAGTTTGATTAAACTAAATGAAGGATTTGTGAATTTCATATTTGAATAGATGTAAAGTTTGTAGGCTCATGCTGACCAGCAATTTTCTTCTGCATGAAAGAACAATACAGACAAACTAAAATTCCAGTCAAACAGTGGGGTCTGAAAAAAATCAAGACAACAGGCAGCACATGCTATTTTCCAGTCCAATAGGAGCCCGGAGCTTTCCACTGATCACCATTAAAAATTGACAGAGTCATTTGGGTGTTTTAATCTCCATACATATAGTCAACAGGCCCTGGGCTGAGTTAGACCCAATTATCATGTGCAGAGCAAAAGAATAATTAAAAAAGCAAGGCTTTAAAGTGGAGCCCTCCATGCTGGAAGCTGCATTTACATGTGTAATGAGGCTCTGGCCTCTCCTCCCCTTGATCCACAGACTCTTAACCACTTATAGCCCCCCTGGTGCCTTTGCCACACCGCCCGCCTGCGCTTTTCTAGAACATTGTCTGGTCTGATCTCTCTTACTCCCATCTCACTCCCTCTCCCATCTGCAAGAGCCCACATTAACCTTCAGCTCTTAATCACACAAAGATGATTAGTCTTACAGCGGAAAGATCATTGCCGGCTCCCTGCATTGTAAAAGAAAGAGATTTCAGTGTGCTCATTAGGGGGAAATGCAGTGAAATATTTCACAGTGAAATTGCAAACCAAATAAAGATGCTAAAAAGCACATACAGCAGAATGTGGCATGTTATCAGCCTTGCTATCTGTCTGTCTTTGTCAGTTCCTCTATCCATCCGTCAGTTTGTTGTGTATTTATGACTGCCTAGAAGGGGTTCACTGAGAGCAACATCAGACTGCATCTGTCCATTTTCAGTAATGTCTTTCTTCCAAATTTTTGTATCTTAGATTTTGTGTCTTCTCTATAAGCTTTCTATTTTCTATGTTGTTTTGGGGAACTCTGTCTGAGATAGCCCCTGAGATTGAATAAAAATGTGTTAGCTTTGGGTCAAAGGCTTTCTAATGCTCATTTTCAGCCTCTGGGGTAAGCACTGGGTGGCATGGAGGAAACAATTTTCTCCTCCATGTTATTTTAGGAACAATATAAAAAAACAGGTTTTCCACTACTTGTTGTCAGTCACGTCATCTTTATCTTTGAAAAATGAAGTGAGCGGTGGGGAGAGATTGTTTTGGGGCTGAGGATACATACGTTACCTAAGAGCTGGTACTTGTAGCATTATTTTCTTCTTATTAATGGCAAGGATAGAGTCTCTCCATTGCTGACCTTCCAACTCAGAGAGAGAAGTGAAAAAAGAAATGCGCCCTAAAACATCAAAAGTGCTGGCACTCTGCCCTTCTTTAAAACCCTCTGGTCTCTGGAGAGGTAATCGAGCTGTTTGGCATCTGTCCGAACAGAGCAATATAGCCACATCTCAGTATTATTTATTTATTTATTTTGTATTTTGTCAAGAAACACTAGCACATCATATTTTCTGAAGGGACAATAGATAGGGACAAACTAGATAATGTCACACAGCCTGCCATTGATAAATAGATGTGTATTTTTTTTCCTCCTTATTCTGCAGCACAAAGTGGCTCTGTGCCACTTTTTGAAATAACAACCACACACTCACACACACCTGCAAGCTCATGCGGGCACATGCAAAAACTCTGGGAGTTTTCTGTGACATTGTGCTGTTATTCATTATCAAAGTCATGTGAATAGCTGCAGGTTTTTAGATTTGTCATGAGGCAGCTTGTGAACAGTTAGGGACTAATACAGCCCAATTTATTTTCTATCTGTTACACATTGTCTTTTAGGGGTCCCTGATAGACTAGTGGCTAGGATTCGAGCCAGGGTTGCATCAGGAAGGGTGTCCGGCTTAAAACACGTGCCCAATGTCAACATGCGAATCGTCTGTATGAGGATTCGCTGTGGTGACCCCTAACGGGAAAAGCCGAAAGTGACATTCACACATTCTCTCTTTGCTAATTCTTATAAAGTTACACAGGCCTAGCACAACCTAATTACTTCTAACCAGCAGTATATTTGTGTAGTTTGTATAAATTCTGCTATCCTCAAACTCATATATGTGGGTTTGTGTAAAGCAGAATCTGAAATCAGGGTAAAAAGCCAATGTCACAGCACAGTGAGATATTTTCTTCACTGAAAATTTCACAAATATTGATGCATCCAATTACTGTGAGTGTTTCAAATCTACAGAACCATTGTCATTATGTATCTACTTGGAATAGGACTAATAATAGTCATGCGTGTCACATTAAATCTCATCTCATTGTTTTTTTATTTGAAAGCAGGTTTGTTGAGCTGTAGTCGTGATGAAGCACATGATGACAGTGCATCTTAAGCTACAAGTGGATCTTTATTTGTCTCAAACTGACAATTTGATTGTCAGATATAAACACAATCGCTTGCACTTAAATGTAAAGTAATCATTGGTGCAAGTTTCCCCACATTTGTAAGATTTTCTATGATCTTCTTATACCTTATAAATTCAGAAGTCAGCACTGTAGGGTTGAGTCAAAACAGAAGGCTGTTACCTGATATGTTGAAGCACTCTGATGTCTGCTGCTGCTTCCCAGGATGCATTTATTTATTCAGTAAAATAAGCTGCCAAAGGAGGAGCCCGGAGGTAGAAACATCAGCCAACAGATGTTTGTGAGTAAAATGAGCTTCAATTTTGTTTCAGCTCCCCAGAATGTTGTTAATCAATTTGGAAACTTGGACAGGGCAACAGCTCTTGGAAATAGGCATAATTAAGTCTATTTTTCTTTCACCTGGAATAGATGTCAAACACTGGCAAGCTGCCCTCCTATGCCTTATGCGTTTGCCTCCGGACCTAGAGAACATGTACTGTGCACACTTCATCTGGCCTATGTGAAAAGGAAACCTGAAGTTCAAAAAAGGTTATCGCCATTTTGTTCAGTGTC